TGTTTATCAAAGGTTTTTAAATTACGATTGAATAAAGAAGGATTAAAGATAATTCTACATTTTCTATGTATACTTCTTTATCTGTATTTCGAGAATATTGATTGCAATTTTTATGTAAATGTTTTATATGAATAATATTATTGGATGGTAATTGTACTATTTTGTTTGTCAACTATATATACATATAAAGTTTTAAGTTTGTTACTTTATCCAAACAAGGATACTCTACTGACGCGTTGATTATCAACAAAATTGAGAATTCTGATTATTTTATCTTAGTGCTTTTTCAAATGTAGTAGAAATGAATATTATTAATAATAATTACTAATTATTCAATCATTTAATTATTTCTTTCCATTAGAATCTAGTTACTAAAAAAATGTTCAAATATTCTCGGAATTTACCTTATAGCGATTATTTCCAAACGGTTTGATAGTCATCGTTTATCACTATGACACAAAATCAAGAAAACTTTGACAATTCACTTGCACGAGGCCTTATTCTATTTAGTAGTATAGTAAACATATGCGAAACAATCTATTCATAAGTGCAAAGGAGTGAATGAGCTATAAGGAACACATTAAACATGAACACAATGGGAAAAGCATTCGAGGTGCATTCCTCATTGTCATGCGTTAGAAACTACTTAGATATATCAATTATTTACGTTTGAATTCATGCAGCTGATCCGTTTAAGAGAAATATACTGGATAAAAATGATCGACCCACTTCTACACCTTAATATATTTGATCTATTTTATTCCCTTAATATTTAAATTTTAGTATATTTTATTGAATTTTAATATTATATTTTTAACACGTTTTAGAATATCTATTATTATCTTTCTTTTTATATTTCTATAGTTACTATCTATCTAGCTTTTTTATCTTGAAACAGAGGTTCAATACTTTGATTTTTATATGAAATAATTATAATAAACTATGATTGTATAATTTTGAATCATCTTATATATTATATATAATCATGCAGCAGGGTGAAACACAACGGAACTTGTTCACGGAGAGTGCACAACTTCCTTGACTTACGTAGCGTCGGTTTCTTCGTATTTAAGTTCGCACGTGAATGTTATCGATTAACAGATAAGGCTCCTGATAAATCCAGTTTGATGTAAATGGGAAACCTGTTGTCGATAGAAGGACCGCATGTAAGTACATGAGCTTATGTACTTTTATAAACTTGATTTAGCAATCTATTCTGCGACCGATCAGATTAGTGTCTTAAATTATTCTAATAATTGTAAATTCAATGGTTTATATGTTTGAGGGGAAATGCTTGTTGTATTTTTTAATACTGAAAATTGTGAATCTTTTATAATTACAGAATTTTTAACTACACAGAACTTTCACAATGCGTTAACGTTTTAGTAATTAGTAATTACGAAAATATGAAGTTATGTTGATGTTCCTTTAATATATTACGTCCTTATGTTTCATGGAAAGTTATATTATTTGATATGGAACTAATAAAACAATGATATTATGATAAATATTATGTAAACAAATTTAATAACGATTTTTATAAAGTACACGCATTTAGGCGGGTATCCATTGGAGAAAAAAGTTAATAGTATCCCATAAACATTTATAACCTCAATTTTATAGCAATTAGACTAATTAAAATCATGTAAAAACACCGTGATCAGAGCATGGTCATTAAATCGCGGAAACCAATGAAAACCTAGGAAGATTTACGACGGGGATGTGCAATCACACATGATTTTCCATTAACACGTTCATAACCTGAATACTTACATTCGATCTTACCAAAAAATTAGTACGATAAATTTTAAGGACTACATAAGTACACAATTTCGTTCTACTAATTTGATAACCCTACTCGCGTAGATTATGATACTATAAACTTGTCAACAAGTAATAAGTATAATCATAACACTTTCTAAACATGGAAATATTTAATGATATATAGATGGTTAATACTTTAACAATTTTACAATGGACAATAAAAATCTCTTCTACAATTTTAACTATAAAATTTGGTTGCAATAATCTAAGTAACAGTATGTTTATAATACATTACGAGTAAATACCAAAGCAATCTTTACTTGGACAAAGAATGGCACAGACCATACGTAATGAAATCAAACCAGTGTTTCTATCTATTTCGAGAAAAGGAGTCACAGATTCAAGGTTCAACGTAAAAGAAACATAAGCAGAGACAAAGGATTTTATGACGTAAATAAACGAATTGTACTGAAAACAGTTTTGAATGTTGTCACGTAGAAGAGGGACGGTGTACTGTGAGATTACCATGATTAACATCTATAGAAGGAAGTGTTCTACTTTCGTGTGAGCAAAAGAGAAACGAAGGATGGAAAACCGGGTTGGGCTATAAGTGTCTGGAATAAAAGCAATTCTAACAGCGATGAAGCGAAAGGGAAAGAGAAAGAAGATAATTAGCGAAAATTACGGCTCTGGCCGAGGCAACTGCGACTCCACGGGATGACAAAGCTTACGGGGATAGACAACTTTATACACTCGTTGTGTAAGTACAAAGCCGAAACAATATGAAACCAATCATTGTATGGTAATAATAAAATTGAAATATTAGAACAGTTATTATTTACAAAGTCATTAGAGTATTGTACTAGAGAGTATTATCCGTGCACGTACATATTGTAGCAGTAACTATTGATGTAAATGATATTTTACATTAAAATTCGAAGCAGAGCAATACGATATAAGTAAGAAATTACAGCTTGAACTCTTTTCAGTACTTACAAAAGAATTAATTTTATACAAATAAGAAATAAATACTTTTCAATATAAGTATTTACATACGTAACTCTAAGAATGATTGACATTAACACGTTCACGCCGGCGCGTAACCCATCGGTTACAAGAAGGGAATTTATATGACGTATAAATGGACGTCAACGTAAACGTGTTAAACATAATGGAAAATAAATGCTCTATAGACATCTACCATTAAATTTATGTTTATTTAATTCCTTAAGAACAAATCAATGATTTACTGTAGTATAAGTATTTTATAAATACACGAATTCTTTTTAATAAAATATGATATATTTGTAATAACATTAATGTATTTCTATATTTCAGTACTTATAAATTTATTACAGCTTTAGATTTATAGGAAATGTTAAAAGTCAGTTACCATATGAGACAGTGTTAAGTAGGGTCTTATGTACATAAGTAAACTTGCTAGTATTTTAAATAGAGTGTTTGAAGTATAATTAATAGTTTATTTACTCAGCAAATAAATCTTTTACACTAACTGAGAGGCATTTATTTAGATAACAAGATGAACAATATAGCGTTAATTATGTAAACCATCAATCAGCAAGTTCAATAACTTCAACTGACAGAAGTCATTATTTTTGTCTCTTTATAATGCTGCTGTAATTTATACAGAACAGACAATAGCTTAAACATGACACTAATATTTAATCTTTGTGTGTCATAATATTTCACAATATTGTTAACTATATCTTAATATAGTTTATTCGGTTACTCTTTCAACTCATTTAAGTGACATATTACTAATTATGTTGCTCAGTAACGTCCATATATTTTTTAATATTCTATTGTACTTGATTTTTAGTAGACTTAATTATTTCTTTGATTTCGGATTTGATTGTTATTATTATTTTGAACTCGTAGATTTTAAGTATAATATTGATTAATAATTAATATAATATTAATTTTATTCGTATAAATATATAAATATATATTTTACTTTTATATTAATAAAATAATAGGCAAATAATATTAGCTTTTACTGGTCCTCCATAGCCTTTATAATTTTTGTATTTCTACATCATAAATTTTAATACCACGATTTTAATATTTTATTAATGTTTCATCAATTGAAAATAAGTCTGTAAGTAATTCCAACACTACAAATTTTTGCAAAAAACTATTTTTCCAATGCAATTAATAAACGCTAAAATCAAATGCAGATTGTACACAATAATGCATTCAGTGTTTCATTACATTGGATATAACATAAAGAAGGATTATATATCATCCTTCGATATTTAAACATGCTAGAAATATATACAAAATACGCACAATATAGATACGGCTAACATATCGAATATAAGTTAGTGTTTTAAAAATACGTTATATGTATGTATGTATTAAAAAGTGTGCTACAGTAATTTAATGTTATATCTGTTAAAATAATTTTAACGATACAGATTTAACATTATACCAATATATTTGATTGTATAAAATTGGCTGCAGATATTAATAAAACGATGCATTTATTTATCATAATAATAGAGTTTGCATAAATGAATGTTAGCTTAATTTAATTCAAATGCAATTTCATTTAAATTTCTGTAATGTTATTTTGAATTAGCAAAGTAATTAAGGGTAAAGACATTTTTATTCAATAACTAAAGAGACATGTTATAAGAATAGTTTTCCTTACTCATTTGTTTGTGGTGCTGTACACAAATTATTTATAGTAAAACAAAATGAATGTGACACGTGTTTACAATCACTAACTAAATTCTTACTATTAAAGTATTGAAAAGTAAGAATATACTTTTCTTATAAACGTTTGTGTCAGTAAATTTTATGTACAAATAAATTAATTTAATATAAAATATAGAACTTCTATCTATCAAAATCAAGTATAATAATTTTCCTAAACATTTTAATCGGGTATATAAATAAATAATTAAAGAATATGTATATCTATTTCGCTAATCTTTAAGTAGTTAATGGCGCTAAAGTTAAATAACTAAAGTACTGGGAGATTATAATTAAAAATGTATACTACAATATATAATACTTATACATTCAGCTATTTATGTCAACTCGATGAAGCATGATGTTAAAAAAGCTTCAATTCTGTAGAAACATTGTTTCCTCGAAATTTTAATTCAATCTCATGCATCTAATGCAACTACCAGGAAGTGTACAGTTTATGTATGAGAAAACATAAGAAACTTACAAGTGTAATAAAAAAAATATGTTCACAGGCTTACCAGGCATGAGTCTTTCTTGCGGCGGGTATCCCAACACCTCTGTTCCAATTAAAGACATGATCATCAAAGTTCTGAGAACTGCCATCTTCATTATCACTCCTGATTACAGTTACTCTAATCACAATAGCCGGCGAGCGTGACAGAAATGTCGAATCACAGGGGACTACACAAACGGAGAATGAGAAGAATATTGCCAATTACGTTGACGAAACTTTTTATTTAGAAAGAGGAAGATGGTTATTTGTTAATCTGAAATTGACGTGATTGTAGTCGACGGAGCTCTTGCTGTTGTCGTACTACGCGATGGTCTGGAGGGCCGGCAGGCGCTTTCACCGGTTTTATACGTGCGCAGGAAAGCACTTCTTCTGGAAGGGGGGGGATTCTGCACAGCTCTTTGATACGTCACATGTACATAGGTACAGTGCAATCACTGATCATCATAACAGACAATTGTCCATAAATTCTGATTTAGAGAATATACTTGAAACCTTTAAGAAATTAAAGGTTACGATTAAATGATTATGTAGGTAAAATCATATGTACACTGGCCCACAAAAGTATTTAGAATCGATTTATTTATAATATAAATGGACATATCAGACGTAAAGTGCTTTATTTAAATGAAATGTGTACACATTATTCTCACGTGTATTCCAATCGTTATGCGTATGCAAATTCCAAAAGATTTACTATCCAGTGAATACGTTTCCATTTCGATCTATGTAATGATCGCGTTATTAAAGTTATTTTCTGATGCTAAGAAATCTATATTAGAGATAACCATATAATATTCAAACTTTCTTGTGTTCTATAGAAAAAGAAGAAAGTTAAAAAGAAATATTTTACATTTATATACTTTATTTTCGTTAACAAATTATATTACTCTATTATTCCGTTGTTTTTTAAATTATATATTCCATTTTCATCGTATATATTGGTTTAGTCCAATTATCCGACATATTTGATTATCCGATACTGTATTGGTACGGAGCATGCTGGATAATCGAAATTGTATTGTACTTATTACTCATAACTTGAATTAACATGCAAGAATTAATTTTATTAAGAGATACGTTCTGTAATCATTATTTCTAAAATTGAGGCAATATTACGGTTGGTTATGATAATATTTATAGACAATCACCTGTAATTAAAAATACAGTTATGGTTTGAACGTCTCTATTAATATGTGATCAAATTGCAGTTTATGCAATTCTGTATGAAATTAACACTCAGTGAGAAACGTATTCTCAGTAAAATTAATTTTTAAGTTTTGTTCATAATTGTTTTCACTACTTTACACATTTAAAAGATATAATAGTAAATTTAGAAATTTAAATAAAGTCTGAACTTAACTGAAATTGCATAGTACTTAGTTAAAAAAATTATATCTTATTGCATTAATCAAAATTTATTAATATGTCTACCCCTATCTTTGATAATAGCTTTAAAAAATTATCGACAACCTGTTACTTTATTTTAATAATGTTTTTACTATTACTTTTCAATAAAAAACATTAATTTGCATGCTACCATTTAATATATATTACGAAAGTAAAATAAAATTAACACTAGATTCACGGATATTTATTGCACATTTTATTATATTGTTCCCAAGAAAATAGGCGTTCGCTCATACTGATTTTTGAAATTATAACTTCGAGAACAGAGAGTCGGAATACGTATTCTTATCATTGCAAAAATCTGCGTAAACTTGTAAGAAATAACATTTATGAAACTTAATATCTATCATGTATTACATTATTTCACCTTAGATCACTAAGCTGTCGTTTTCCCAATATTTT